AAAATCTTGCTTGCATGTGAAATCAGTGAAATTGTTCTGTAGTTTCCACATTCGGTTGGGTCACCTTTCTTTGGGATAGGAACAAATATCGATCTCTTCCAGTCAGTTTGTTCGATATCTGATTAGGCTTGTGATGTATTTAAAAGGTGTTGCATTTTTTTTTAAAAAGGTGTTGTGTTTCACTCTTAATCCTTTTACAATTATTTGATTTATTAGATCATGGGAGACAAGTATGGCTTCCACATTACATCATTACATACATGTACAAATTTCAATAATGATAGTGACCCTCTAGGGCTGAGTAGATTCCAAAGACTGCAATCTCTATGGAAAATAACCCTAGTGGTATAAGTTTGAAATCCACCAGCAGTGACTTGGGAAAAAGTTTTTAAGACTTACATCCACACCCATGTTTATTGCAGCTTTGTTCACAATAGCAAAGAGTTGGAAACAACCCAAGTGCCTATCAACAAATGAATGGATAGAGAAGCTGTGGTATATTCACATAATGGAATACTATGCTGCATTGAAAAACAAAGAACTCATGAAATATTAAAAATTGGTGATCCTAGAGGACATTATGCTGAGTGAAATATCTCAGTCACAAAAGGACAAATATTGCATAGGGCCACCGTTGTAATACAGAACTGACATCGGGCCTTAGGGAAGACTGAGAAAGGGGATAAATAATGTATACAGCATTGAAATAGATGAGGGAGAGAACTGTTTAAAAGGGATATATGATTAGGTATTATTGTCATGACAGGAGTCAAGAATGAAGGCTGCACAGTGGAGTGGACTTGGGGGGAGGGATTGTATAACAATGAAAGAACTATTCTTTTACTTTTCAAAGAGAAGAGTGAATTAGAGGGAGGGGATGAGCAGGGAGAAAAGTGCAACAATGAATGAATGGAAACCCTAAGTCTATAAATTTTCATTTAAAAAAAGCTTTTAAGACTTATAGCTTCAGGAGCTCTGGTGGTCTACTGGCAAGAAGCTGCGGTGCAATCCCGAAGCGTGGTTCAAATCCACCAGACGCTCCACTGGAGAAGGAGGGGCAATCTCCTCTTGTACCTGTCAGATCTGATTCAGCGGCACATAACACAGGGCCAGGGCGCGGGGGGGGGGGAGGATTTTTTAAAAAGGAAGAAAAGAAAAAAAACCAAAACCAACAAAACCTTACAGCCTCAGAACCCAGTTAGGGATAGGGGGGTGTCACCATAAATTGGAAATATCCCAACAGCAGTGCTTCCCCCACCTTTCTTGAAATCGTTATGGAAATAATAAGATCATTAATTCACGGAGAGGCTGGCGAGTTTGAACCACCAACATTTTGATTAGCAGTCAATTAATTTACATTTAATTAACAATTACCACATCATAGGGTTCTTTTACAATCATGGTTGGGAGGGTGGAAGGACGGCGCAAGAGGGAAGACCCTCTATGAGATGGGTGACTGGGGTAATCGGGATGGGTGTGTCAGAGGAAGTGCGATTGGCACAGGATAGAGCAGGGTTTAGAGCTGTTGCACATAGGGTCGCTATGAGTCGCAAACGACTCGACGGTATTGGAAGGAGGTGTGGCATCCACTTCCATAATAGCTTGCCTCCGGAAACCCTATGAACCTGGAGAGAGAATGAAAGGCATCCAAGGGTCGAGGACTCTCCTTCATAGGGTCGCTATGAGTCGCCTGCGACTCAAGGGCACTTAACAACAACAACATACATAGGTAATGTCCTCCTGCGCGATTAACTGCCTCCAAAACCCAATGGAGTATCATCCGTGAGTCAGTTGACTCTGAAAGTATGAGTTGTGTGCCACTTGGATCATTTTGGACAAATTGTTTCATTTAATTTTCAGAGCAATCTTCTGAGCCAGACATTGTTATTTACTCTCACTTTAAAGGTGAGAAAATCTGAGACTCAGGGCTTCAAACATTTGCCAAGGTCACACATCTTCCTCTAGATTCCAGTCCAGGACGCCAGAATATTCCCAAATACCACCACTGAGTGCAGTAGTTCACCATTTGCCAAGTATTTTAACCGAGTGCTCTTACAAAGATAATCTTACTTTATTTCCACAAGTCTCAAGAAAGTAACAAATGGTATGTGTCTCTGGGAGGTCAAGCTTCTTCCAAGGTCCTGACTTGAACGAGCGATTAGTCCTTTGAACCTAGGCCTAGAGTGTAGACCCCTTTTGGAGCTAGATAGGTGAAACTCTCAAGAGGTGGGTCTGGCAGGTACCTAAGTGTGAGCACTTGCATTTCGATTGGCAGTCAAACAGCATTACTGGAAAGCAGTAGCCACTTTCCCCGGCTGGTCGCGTCCAGAGCATGCGCTGTGAAGCCAACCTCCCTCCCTTTCAACCCGCCCATTATGGACTCCTCCCATCACCGTCCAGAGCCAATCCGTAAGGTGGAGGGTGGGGCCGCAAGAGAAGTAGGCGGGTGCTAAGAGGAGTAAAGAGTCCGGAGTTGTGCGCCGGAGTCAGAACTGCGTCCAGCCACCTAGCAGCTGGCCGCTGGACGAACAAGCAATGCTGCAAACGCCGCTTCCTGATTGGTCGTTGGTGCTTCACTCTTCGTTCTGATTGGTAGCTGGTGAACTGGGTATGTAAATAAAAGGGAAGGGGTCTAGGGCTAGAAGGGGTACTGGCTGGCTGTAGGGTCTTGAGTGGGTTGATCCGTGGTCTGGCAGGTGCGCGCCGGGGCTGTTCAGGATTTAGATTCACCAGCTTCTACCGTGTCGCCCGCCTGACTGGGCCGGGTGAATCACGCCGCAGCCCGGAAAGGGGGCGGAGGCGCCGGCTCCCTGGCTCCGGCTGCGTGACTCACCCGCCCCCGCCGCCGTCGCTTCGGGAGGAGCTACCTCCACTGCCTTCCGGAAGCGAACAGGAGGCCGAGAGGCACAACTGCCCACCGGGGCTCCCGCCAGGACAGAGCCGGGCGGCAAGCAGGAACTAGAGCTTGGATGGGGGGCTGTGTAGGTCCTGGAGTCACAGGGACCGGAATCCCCGGGGGAAAGCTGTGTTGATCGCCGCTAGGGGGCGCCGGCGCCCTGGGGGCGGAGTGGGGGGTGGGGGCTGAATTCCTGCGGTTCCGGACTGGGGTCCCTGGAGAAGAGGAGCTGACCCGGACTTGAATGGAGTAGGGAGTCACTCTTAAGGCCCAACTCGGCAATGGCATTTGCAGAACTGCCAGGGTAAAAAAATAAATAAATAAAAAATAAAGTAGGGCTAGAGCGCGAAGTATCCAGGGACTTGCTCCCCACAGGGAGAAGTTCTGAGTCCTCTAACTTTTCTGGGACCCCAAGGGACCAATCAGGATTTCCCAGCAAGTCTTGCTCACTGTGCATCTCAAACAGATCCTAAATCAGCCAGCTTCCTTCCATGTCTACCACTGCCTTTTACTCCAAGTGGCTGTCAATCATTGCCAACAGCCTCCTGTGGCTCTCTGGGAAGACACACATGCTTCATTCCTTGCAGCTGCTGAGAGAGCTCTTGCGAAAATCTAACCCGTCTACCACAGTGACACTCCCCTCACTGCACAAAACTCTTTAAACGACTTCCCACCACTGTCACAATGAAATCCAAACTCTTCACTTTTACCTGTATTGCTCCCTGTGATCTGGCACTTTACCGACTGTCCCCACCAATGCCACCTCTGTGCACCAACTACACTAGTCTTTTTTTCCTTCAGTTAAAACTTGTCCAGCATCCAGGTCTTTTCTTCTCTTTACTGCTATTGTCTCTTCCCAGAATGCTTTGCCTTGACTGACCGCTTGTGTTTAAATATCACCTCAGAAGACCTTTTCTTAACCATTCCACACCCTGAATGCTTAGGTGTCTTTATACTTGTTGTTTCTAAGTGACACTGAGTCTGCTCCAGCTCATATCCACCCTATGTAAAATACATATAACTGAAGGAACACCTGCCTGGTCCTGTGCCGTCCTCACAATTGTGGCTATGCTTTAATTTTCCTGTTTGTTTATTATCTGACACAGGATAGACATTTAATAAACACTAGGTGTGAAGGTGGCCACTTCTCGAAGTTAAAAAAAGATTGAGTAGTGACCACTTCACAGAGTTCAATTGGAAACTCATTAGTAGTTATTAAGCATAATTATTAAGAAAAAGTATTTACTGTAAATTATTAAGTATTTAGAGCAATATTTACCTTGTTCTAAGTGGTTTTATATTTTAGTTCATTTAATACTAAAAAGTATTCTATAAGGTAGATACTATTACCAATATGATTGAAGGGCCTAGTGAGTTATGTTGGGCTACTAACTGAAAGGTCAGTGGTTCAAATACACCAGCTCCTCCGTGGCAGAATGATGAGGCCATTCCCTTCTGTAAAGATTACAGCTTCAGAAACCTGATGGAGGGGTTTGAAATGACTCACTTATGGTCACATAGGCAGCAGAGGTCAGAGCCAGGATTTTAACATCTTCACTTTTCATGACAGATGATGCTGAGCAAGGGCTTGAAGCGCAAGTGGGAGCAGGAGGAGGAGGAGAAGGAGACCTTGGCAGTGGACACCTGGTGGCTGGATTCTGGTCACCCAACAGTGGCACAGGCTCCGCAGGCAGTGGCCTCCAGCTCTCTAGTGGACCTCTCAGTGCTTAAACTCCACCACAGCCTGCGACAGAGTGAGCCAAACTTGCGACATCTGGTACTGCTAGTGAACACACTGCGGCGCATCCAGGCAACCATGGTGCCCGAGACCTCCCTGTCACCTGTGCCCAGCCCACCTGCTGCCCCTGGAGTAGTTGACAGCCTGCTGGCCAGCTCAGATGACCTCTCGGCCTCCATGGCCAGCCTCCTGGAGGACCTCAGCCACATTGAGGGCCTAAGCCAGGCCCCCCAGCCCCTGGCAGACGAGGGGCCACTAGGCCGCTCCTCAGGGGGAGCTCAATCAAGCTTGGGTGCCCTGGATCTGCTGGGCCCAGCCACTGGCTGTCTGCTGGATGATGGACTGGAAGGCCTCTTTGAGGACATCGACACTTCTATGTATGACAGTGAATTTTGGGCACCAGTCTCTGAGAACCTCAAACCCGGGCCTGTGGAGGAGCCGAGCAAGGAGGAGACCCCAGAGCTAGACGAGCTGGATTACCTCATGGACGTGTTGGTGGGCACACAGGCGCTAGAGCGGCCACCTGGGCCAGGGAGTTGACCCCGGGTCTGAGGTTGAATTGTGGTGAAACTAAACCTGGTGACTGGAATAGCACTCCTTGAAGGACGCAACTGGCTTCTCTGGTGCAGAGACAGGGGTTTGGGCCAGTTTGGGAGTGACAGTCCTGCGCAACTTCCCATGCATTCTCAGTTTGGGGGCAGCTGCAGGAGTCAGATTGGTCTGCCTGATGAGTGCCTGGTAGATGCCATATGAGGAGACCAGGCTCGGTGCTAGACTGAATTCTCTAAAGAAACTCAGAGCCTAGGATGCGTCTTCCCTGATGTGGGAAGAGACTCCAGTCTCCATTGTTGAAATTAAAACCAGTCCTGAGAAATCTCAAATCTGTGTGTTTCTTTGTCTCTGGGCTGGTGTGAGAATCAGAACAGTTAACATTTACTGAACACATACCGCGTCGGAACATAGTTCTCATTACTGATCATGCTTTCAAGCATTTATTTAAGCCTTAGAACAATCCCATCAGGTGGCTTTTACCAATACCTCCATTTTACAAATAGGAAAACTGATGCTCTGAACTCAGCCAGGTTTCCCGGTGTGCCTGCGTGTTTAATGAGTGGGTGGGGCTCCTTAGGCCACCAACATTTTTAAAAGGAAATCTAGGCTTTTCCTCAAGTCTACCCGTGCGCCTTTGGAGGGCTTGAGGGGACTTTCCAGTTGTTCCAGAAATAAAACCTAGAGGCTGGATAACCAGATCTCTAGAAAAATAGTGAAAGAAAGAGAAAATATAACCGGTTCTGAAAAATGAAACCCACTCCCCGGCCTCAGAGCTCTTTTTGGGAAGGGGTCTGGGCTGCTGGGCCGCAATCTGAAATGAAGCCACTAGGTCCACCGACTGGACTGAGCGGAGGAAGCCAGGCCCAGGCGAGCTAGGGCCACCTGCCTGTGGGACGGGTGTCGCGGGCACTGCTGGCCGGAGCGCCGGGTGTCTGCGGCCGCCCCCGCCGTCCAGCTGCATTCCTGGCAGGGCTGGGAGGGGCGCACACTCAGCGGCCTGGCACGGGCCCGGGCAGCGTCCTTCCTGGCGGTGGTGGGGGCAGGGCTGCGCCCGGGCCGGCGGAGGGGCAGGGTCAGCTGGCGTCGGCAGGGAACGAGGGGCCCGGGACAGGCGTGGACGGTGGATGGGGGTTTTTTGACACTAAACATAGGGGACCACGGCAGGACGACAGGTGAAGCCCGAAAGGTTGGGGGCTCCCTAGCCGGAAGCTCGAGCGAAGCCGAAGCCCGGGTGGAGCAGGGGGAGGCGGGAGCCGGCCGGCCCCTCGGGCGGGAAGGGGCGGGCGGAGTGGAGCTTCCTGGAGGAGGGGAGGAAGCAATGCCCATTTCTGGAAGGAGATATGGCGGGCCGAGGAAATGGTCCCCCGGGACCTGATGCCCAGGTTGGGGGGTCTCTGAAACTCTCCATTACCACACTGGGCCTTAGGACAGGCGCTCACTTCGTCCCCCTTCCCCCAACCCTGCCCTATGGAGCCTGAGCTGAGCTCAGCAATGCCCCCTGGTGCCCATTCTGGGAGTTTGACTCCCTGGAGTCAGGAGTACTGGATAAGCAAGGTAACCAACCACAGGCCTCCTTGTGTTTCCCAACTAATCTCCGGTAAACAATTTCATATTTTCCCACCACCACATCAGAGATTCTGCTTCTAGCGATGGCTGTTATCTCACTTTCTCCGGACCCCACAGCACCTTCCTACAAGATCATCCCATGAACTGCCTAAAGGACAAATAGCTGTTATTGTTGCTAGGTGCCATTTCAAAATAGCTAACTATGTCTTGGAAAAGGTGCACACACACACACACACCCCTTGCTCCTTGGAAACTTCATCTCATATACTGTGGGCAGGTCATAAGGAGGGGCTAGTCCTTGGAAAGAGAACTCACGCTTGGAAAGGGGGAGGGTTCTGCGAAAGAGAAGGGGAGACCCAGAAGATCTAGATTGACAGTGACTCTAAAGGTGGGCTCCAGTATGTCAGAGATGGACACAATAGGGCAGGGTTTAAAGCCATCGTTCATAGGGTCGCTTAGTTCTAATTAGCTTGACAGCGCCTAGCAACCCCACCACCAGGGACGTTGTACTCAGTAAGCAAGGTAAGCACAGGCTTCCTTGTGCTTACTTGCTAATTTATAGTGAACAGTTTCACTGCAGATTAGTAAGTAAGCGTCAGGCCCAAACCAAAGTCAAAGGGAGAAAGAAGGATTCAAGGAATACCAACATGTCAACAAAAGTGAGTGAACAAGGGAGCTCTGGTGGCCTAGTGGCAAGAAGCTGCACTGCAATCCCAGAGGCTTATGGTTCGAATCCACCAGATGCTCTGCCGAGAAAGGAGGGACAACCTCCTGTACCAGTCAGATCTGATTTGACGGTACACAGACACACAAAATAATAAAATAAAAAAAAAAAACAACCACAAAAGTGAGTGAACAGTCTCAGCCATCTGACTAAGCTACCATGGAGTGCCCCTCTCTTTTCCTCCCTAAAGACCTGTCCTAATTAATCTTAGTGCTCAGTTTTCCTCTGGTCTGTCTCTCTCTCCAGACCAAGGGATCCCACTCAGGAGCCCCCTAAATAAACCTGATTTAGCTTTCTTTTTTTTCTCTGTCCCTTCCTTGAGTCCTTGGCATTACGTACAGTGTGAAGACCTAACAGCAAGTACAAGGAAGCCTATGCTTATCTTGCCTATTGGATAATCCTCTCTTAGACATTGGTCATTAATGCCCTCTGTCTTTTTTTTTTATTTTTTAAGTGATTTAATAGGTCCTTACTACTCAAAGTGTGATCCAGGAACATGCATTTCAGCAGTGTGCTAATGTCCTCTGTCTTATTCTAGGAGCCTGTCCCATTGCCACTCAGAATGTCCTTGGAAGCAAGGATGCGGGACTTCGGCTCACAAACTTTGGGCATATTATTGAGGGAGGCCAGTGCCCAGAAAAATACATTATTCTGCTTAGTAAAGTAGAAATTCACTGCTGTTGAGTCAGAATCAATTCATAGCAGGCCTTTCAGTGAGGGTTTTCAGAAGCTGTAAATAGCAGGGGAGGAGATTGCCCATCTTTTCCCCTGAGGTACAGCCAGTGGATTTGAACGTGTTCTGGTTTGGGATTGTAACTCTACCCACCAGGCCACTAGAGGTGACCTCAGTAGAGATCGGTAAAGAATTAATTTGTTTCTGTTTATATTACATGTTGGGTATTTCACCCTTTAAAAAAATAGTTTGGGGTGTGGTCTGTGAAACATGATGCTTGGTAAAAGTAGAGGGGGGAAAAAAGGGATTGAATATCTTCAGTGACATGGATCAACACAATGTCCTAACAGCACAAATGAGCTTCAGCACTGCAGCGATTGTAAGGATGGTACAGGACTGCATAATATTTCACTCTGTCATACATAGAAGCAACTCAACAACACCTAAAAACAACAGATGCCTGTTTCTAGTGGCTGCTGGTGCTGGATTGGAGGGTCTGTGACACTGACTGATGTAGACCATCTATCTGCCCACTTGTCAATGACATTCTCACCTTCCTCATTTCTTGCCTGCACAGCCAGTGTCTTCTCCCCAGAACCTCTGTGTCCAGTTACACAGTTTGCACACTGCACAAGGGCTCTATTTTTAAATAGTTGTCACATACATGAAAATAATTATATATCTGCATGTTGAGTATGACAGCTTCTAGCAGCAGGAAGTCAAGTAACTTGAAGAAGGGACATCTCCTCTTTGTAAAAGCACATATAGACTAGATTGTACCTGGCCCTTGCCCCCTGGAGTCCTCAGATTTGAGAACAGCGCACACAAAAAGATAGGGCCTGAAGGACAATTATATGAACATAAACTATGTAAACAAAAATGACTATGTTCCAATAAAACTTTAAAAAAAAAAAGATAGGGCCCTGTTCTCCGCATTCCTGGCCCCTGTGGCTGTGCAGGTCCCCAGGCTCCGCTGTGCTCCTCCACCCTCAGGGTCAACCCCAGGAGGCCAAGCTAGCCAGCAGATTCCAGAGCCCACATCATTCCTTGCTGAGCTCAGGCGCGGCTGTTGGTCTTCAGAAGGCCTCTGTGTATTCCTGCCTCGTCACCTCCTAGGCTCGCTCCCCTACGTACTTACTGACAGGGACCCCTCTGATTACCCCAGTCACTGAATCAATCCACCTCATAGAGGGCCTTCCCCTCCTGCTCTGTCCCTAGACCCTCCCAAGCAAGATGTCCCTCTCCAAGGACCGGCCTCCTTACAACATGTCCAAAGTATGTCAGACGAAGCCTCAGAATCCTTGCCTCCAAGGAGCAGCCCAGTTTAACCC